AAGAAAAGAGAGAGAGAGAGAGAGAGAGAGAGAGAGAGAGAGAGAGAGAAGGTAGAAAGTGGTCCAAAAAATCTGTCATTTTAGTTCTAAAAGCTCATTGAGAACAACAAACGAATGCATTAATGACCGGCTTGGAGTATAGGTGAAACAGAGAAGAAAAAAAAAAGTGTCCGAGGTGTAATGAGCTGACACTTAATCTGAAAATACAAGCAGTTAAAGTTTTACATAAGAGTAGAATATAATAATATGTATAAAATCATACACAGTCTGGTGCATTAAGTCAAAACTGTCTAAGACGGCCACTTATCGTCAATGGGTTAAGTGTCAATTGTAGACAGGTGACGATCGTACAGGGTGCAATTTTAATGAAAAAAAACCCACACACAAGGTAGGAAATTGAAAGTGGTAGTTTGTTGAGGTGATTGTCTTATACAGGTGGCCGTTAGAGCAGGTTTGGCTGTATCTAGACGAGGTCCCCCTTCTTTTAGAAGAAACTAGAATCCCATCCACCATTTCCGTGGCGAATCAATAAAGTTTATCTCTTCTGTAAAATTATTTTTTATTACAACTGACCTCATGCCTAAACCAAAAGATTTTCTACTTCGACACTTTCCATATTATTTATTGGATCGATCAAAATATTTCCACCATAGAACAATTGGATGGATCAACGCAGATAAATAACGTGGCGGAAAGCTTATGAGACTTGCGTGCTATCATTGCACCTCTAGCGTGGTTTTTTTTCTTTCTGTTTCGAAACCCCAAAGTCTAACTCTAACAAAATATGAAATGATGACACGCGAATGGGGTAGAGAGAAAAATATACACAATACCACGAAAGGGAAGAAAAAAGGGGCATATATTATAATATCAAACAATGTGTAGGTAACATTTCAGTGCAGCCTACATTAAACTACTCATTAGCTTAGCCAAGAAGAACATAATATGTGGGTGTCCTGAATCTTATGTCCTCGCATGGCCATATAACAGCTACAAGCAGGGTTGGGTTCACACTTAAAACCAACAACATCTAAACATCTTTAAATTATTCCAGTGCTTGGCAACCTGAGCAATACCGTCCACTAGGGGGAACACCCGACCAGTGACAGGTGTTATTTAATACCTCGATTGGAAATATATGTAAGAGGGCGGTACGAACATTTTCGACTCTTTAAGATGGCACAGGTGGGCGCTGACTATTCAAAAGAAAGTTGACAAGAACTGCTATATTCGTAGATTTTTGTCTACAATACCACAGAGGATGCAGGTATTCTTGGTAATCAAGTAGGAATAATTTGCATCAAACAAAATATGGCGTTATCGAATTAAACAGTTCTATATTATCTGTACAGTGACACAACGACTAAGCCACAAAAATGAAAATTAAATAAATACAATACCGGGTATTAACAGAAGAGGAAACAAATAGTAATGAAAATAAATTTTCAAAAGCTGAAACAAAGGTGAGGTCACAATGCAGGGATTACGTAACGATAAACCAACAGATCAACATGAAATAAATGATAAAGAGAAGATACCAAAGATGCCAATCGTTGAAGAAAAAGATTACGCAGAGTTAAGCGTCTTAGGCACATCGCTTTTCAGATACACCCCCACCCTTTCCAAAAAAAAAGGAAGATTATGTTACACGATGCACAAAAATGCCCCCCCCCCCTAATCAATCTATTTTTAGACCCCCCCCCCTTTTTTTCAATAAAATATACCACACAAATATCTTATGATGTATTATATTTTAGGTAATTTGAAAAAAAATCAATCACATTTCAGGCAAACTGCCGGCAAAAGAAAACAGACATGTTACATTTCAGGCAAATGATTGAAAAAGAAAACAAACAACAATCTCTGACAAACTGTTAAAAAAATGTTTCTAGAATTCTATAGTCGTTGGAGCAGCGGCTGGACAAACACTGACGATGTGATGAGGCGCGGTACACTACGGAAGGGGAACTAATGACGCCTCAGGCCAGCTCTCCGTCCCGTGGATGCCAACCATTTGGATGTTTTTGTGGACGCTGGGACAACAGGCATGCTCCTCCTTCACATCCAACTAGTACGGTTTTTTTTTTACTCTATACGCTGCGGTGATTTTTTTTTTCATTTGTCAAAATTTATCAAGCACTTTCTCTCAAGTTATGAGGAAGATGGAGCCGAAATGGTTCTCAGTGGATAACATTACATTTGCTCCACAACATTCCACCCCTTATAAATCCCCAAATGTTATAAATGCGTTAACATGCAAATTAAAAACAAGATAAATGATAACGTAAGATTAACAAACGGTTTCAGTTAAGTAGTGCTGTAGTCGTGGGTACCAATAAAAGGGACTAATCAATTAATCCACCAGTCACAGATACAACGGAGTCGTATTTGTTCCCTCAGAAAACACGAGAGATGAGTTGGCATCCACAGATACACACATTTACTAAGCGACTGTCTCATGCCAAAACACCACAAAACACCACTGAATTTATAAAACAGAATGTACAAAGGGCCGTGTGACTTCCACTAAACCTGGGTTGGCTGCAAGTTAGTTTGGCTAAAATATTGTCGGTCACCATTTATTTTTTGCCTTGCTTTAGTGATATAGCAGCTTATTTTTTTTTTTTATATGAGACTCATTCTGAACAACAACGCGCCAACTGGACACCCCCCTTAAAAACGCATTCAAATTTCTTATAGTTTTGCACCCAAGGGAGTTGGAGAGATGATGCAGCGAAATTTATTTTAAAAGACCAAGGTGGCATTTTCCTCGTATTGTATTGTGGGCTTTTATCATGTTTTGTTCTTACTTTTACTTTTATGCTAGGTGATTTCAAAGTAATACCGCCGAGAACTGCCTACTTTTAAAATAGGTCTTCTGGGAATAAAAAGAATAGTGCTCAGATTCTTGTTTAAATAATGGTGACCAAGTTTTTACCGGAAATACTGATGCTTCGAAAAGGGACATCCAAAGGATCGTCTTATGAAAGCCGTTACTTACTTCTTTAAAAAGCCCCCAAAACCAAAAACAAACATAGCCACAAGGGTAAAGGTCTAGTTGAGGTCTCCATTCTTAAAATAAGTTGAGATCGTTTTATTATTATTTCTTTTTTGTTGTTGTTGCACACGACGTCATGACTACACCCATGTTGGCCCCACAGAGGGTAGAGAATCCGGAAGTGCACAGTAGTAGGTCAAGTGAGTTCCGAAACGAGACCTCAGCTTGATCTTTGCCGCTACACTAAACACAACGCCGCATTCCGTTTCAAAAAATGTTTTCGATGCAAACTACCGATGCGAAATAGCTCCTTGCGGCTCCTCTCAACGTAGACGAGCTGCTGGAAGTCTCCCCGAGATGGAATGGCTGCTCTGACGTCATCGTCTGGTACGGGATGACGATCGTCGACGTCTGCTCACTGCTCTGTCTGTAGTGAGCTGACCAACGAGTCAAATTTTCGCGGTCGTTAGCGGAGGAAGGGTCTTCACCGTCTACAGTTTCGAATCCACTACCTTCGGGGACTTCATCTTCATCTTCATCATCGCCATTCACACGGAGACTCCGCATTAACTCGTTCAATTTCACAATGGTCTCCTCAAAGTGCTCGTAATCTTCGCCCGTGTTTCCTCTGCCTCTCAAACCTTCCTGTCGTTCCTTCACACGACGACTGTCGTAAGCAAAAGAGCGATCAGTCACACCAAAA